TGGTGATGTGAGAGCCTGGTCCGGTGAGAACCCGGCGTGCTCCGTCCCGGCTTTGTAGGGATGCGAGGTCAATGGTCTAACGACTACGGCATGCACGACAATGAGTACACCCGCCCCCGCCCCCCGTGTTACGCATTGGGGCGCGGGCGCACGTGCGTCTCCGCACCCGGCACAAACCCAGCCCTGTAGCGTTTCTTTTTTCATCAACTCTGGCGGCGAGGGGGGAGGAGGCGTACTCTTTATGTTTTGCATGCCTTAGCGCCTTAGCGGTTAGACCATTGACCACGCGTCCTCGAGCGGACGGAGCATTGTTCCCACAGGACCGATCACCGATGGCCAATCGTTCCTTTCTACTTTGCCAAAGGTGGCTAAAAAAAGTTTTCCCTAGACTAGTCTAGGGAAAACTTTTTTTAGCCACCTTTGGCAAAGTAGAAAGGAACGATTGGCCATCGGTGATCGGTCCTGTGGGAACAATGCTCCGTCCGCTCGAGGACGCGTGGTCAATGGTCTAACNCCATGCCTCAAACATCTCCCTGTACGTAAATCTATTTTCCCCAGCTCAGTCACGTACACTTCCCTCTCCTTTTACCACGGGCATTCCGCGACTACATGAACACGGTCTTCGCATTCGAAGCCGCGATCACATTGGAACTCGTCGTCCTCGTCGTCCACCGTCTTATGTCGTCGTCGACGTTCTCGAAGGCCCATGTCCCCGGTCCTGAATTTGACCTTAAGCTTTGTTCCTGCATCCATTGGTCCATGTAGGTAGTCCTTGAACCCTATTCCTTCCTTCAACATTCCGTACACTTCTAGACCCTCCTTATCCTTGGATTCTTTCCTCAGATTCTGTTCTTCTCTCTCGNGTCTATCCTAACGATATCCCTTCCCCGAATTTTCAACCTACCTCCTATGCCCCAGTACAGCTACCGTCCTTTCCTCTCATTCCATGCCTCAAACATCTCCCTGTACGTTCCATCTATTTTTCCCAGCTCAGTCACGTACACTTCCCTCTCCTTCTTGTACAACGGACATTCCGCGACTACATGAACACGGTCTTCGCATTCGAAGCCGCAATCACATTGGAACTCGTCGTCCTCGTCGTCCACCGTCTTATGTCGTCGTCGACGTTCTCGAAGGCCCATGTCCCCGGTCCTGAATTTGACCTTAAGCTTTGTTCCTGCATCCATTGGTCCATGTAGGTAGTCCTTGAACCCTATTCCTTCCTTCAACATTCCGTACACTTCTAGACCCTCCTTATCCTTGGATTCTTTCCTCAGATTCTGTTCTTCTCTCTCGGCACAAGCAACGTATATCTTCTCCTTCAACCCCTGTAGACCCTCCGTTTCCAGCGTTTCGTCTTCGTCGATGTCGAGCCCCTTCCATACGTCCTCTACAACCTTGACCCATTCCGTGGGTTGTCTACCCCTCATTTTGTTTGCCCACTTCGTCTCCCATACAATTCTCGGCAACCTCTCCTCTCCCATCCCGCACATGCGATACTGCCAGGTCAGCTTCCTCGCGTCTCTTCCCGACCGTAGGGATTGGATCCCCAATTCTGCCCTCACGGCTGCATTACTTGTGCGCCTGGAGCATCCTAGGATGATTTTCGCTGCTTTCATCTGCGCCGCCTCGAGTTCTTTCACTACCTTCTTGTTTCCTTCCCATACTTCTCCGGCGTACTCTAGCGTCGGTACGATCACGCTCTTCAAAACCGTCGATTTGATGCTTGTATCGAGGTGCCGGTTTGCGAGTATTGGGTGCAGCTTCCCTGCTCGTGCTTTGCCCTTTTCCGCTACCTTGGACATGTGTGCATTCCACGAGCAGTCTTTTGCGATCTCTACTCCAAGGTATGTGTACTGGTCCACTACTGCAATCTCCTCGATCCCCCACTTCCATCTATGTTCTACTGGTTGTTCTCGTTGAATACCATGACAGACAGCAGTACTCTTCTTAACGTTGGCAGACAATCTCCACTTATCAGTAAACTTCTTCGCCGCGTCAATTTGCAGTTGCAGTCCCTCAGGGGTGTCCGACATACTGACAAAATCATCCGCAAACAGCATTCCTGAAACCGACGTTTCCGTGTCCCCTACTTTTCCTCATTTCCGGACGGCGTCTACGACTTCCAACAGATCGAGGGGGGAGGAGGGGGGAGCTTTTTGTTTTCCGCTGGAAGTAATCCACACAGCGACTGACTGGCCAACAGCAAGTCGTCCTGTGTAGGTTGACGTTATGTCCTGCACCCAACCTTCTCTGCGACGATGACGATGCTTCGCTTTTCGGGGAGATGGGGAAGCGGCTAGAGTACCACGACTGGATGGTTCGCTCCGGTGTTTATATCTCCGGCGCGTTGGGTGGGCGGGAGCGCCTCTAAGTTTTTTTTTCTCGAGATTTTTGCTTACTCGGACTAATAGAAAAGTGCAAGTTTGTTGTCACCTTGAAGTGTGTTGTGTTTGGTGTGGCGGTCACAGCAGAGGTCTCGATCCAAGATTCGGTTGGATTTTAGATTCAGGTCGACTTCAATCGACTCTTTTGGCGTCGAGCGGAAGTGGAAAGAAGCTGTTCTCTGCGGTCTATGCATCGCAATGTGCTGCCGATCAACGCTATCAGGTGTTGATGCCACATGTTCGCTCAGCTTCTCGCTCCGTACACGGCCATTAGACTGACTGCAACGTCAAGTTGGATGCTGGTGTACAAGTCTCAGTATGACAGCAAGGATTTTGTTGTTGGCGTAGCACACACACCGATGTGCGACATACGGTCGGCCCTTGTCAACCGGATCAAACGCCAGTTCGCTCTGTGTCGTGATTGTACCTCTTCACGGAACTGATTGGGACAAGATACAGGTTTTGTTGCTGCTTTCAATCCTTCGCTCTCCTTGACATGCAGCCGGAACCACACCAAGGGAACCTGGCTCGGAATGAAACCTGAACCATGCTGTAGACGTAACACAACTTCTGACAAATAGACTAGCCATGGTCACGCACCATCAACATGGCTATTACATCCAAATACCATATGCCGCAATAACGCGCTACGGCGGCCCGCGGGCGGATCGGCGGCACCACCGACCGGCGCACGAGGCCTCACGCAAATCCAACACATCACCTCAAATGATTATCTCCCTTGAAACGGAGACAGAACATTACAACAAGAAAGAGGGGTAGGTTTTAGGAGTTTTTTCCGCGCGCGAAGCGCGCGTGCGAAAAAAAACCCGGAGCGAT